TATTCTTTTGCAATGTAAGAATGGTGACCAGAGGCTCATCACCAACGTCTACTATATTCCAGACCTATGTAATAATATACTAAGTTTGGGCCAACTTGACGAGGTGGGATGCAAAATTGTTATGGAGGGCAGTTTTCTTTGGCTATATGACCGATCAGGAGCAACATTGATGAAAGTGAAGAAGTCTCCAAACCGACTATATAAGGTACATCTTCATATAGTTCCACCAACATGTTTACTTGCAAAGATGGACGAGGCAGCCTGGATTTGGCATGCACGCCTTGGACATTTAAACTTTGATGCTATAAGGAAGTTATCAAAAGAAAAATTGGTGATTGGCGTGCCAAACATAAATCACAAGTCACAATTGTGTGAAGCTTGTCTCGTTGGGAAGCAACGACGTCTTCCATTCCCATCCCAAATATCTTATCGAGCACAGCAGCCCCTTGAACTAATACATGTTGATCTGTGCGGTCCTATTACACCGAGTACACCATCTGGGAACAGGTACTTTTTATTGCTAGTTGATGATTTCAGCAGATTTATGTGGGTATATGTTATCAAGTTCAAAGGCCAAGCATGTGAGGCATTCAACAAGTTCAAGAAGTCAGTTGAATTGGAAAGTGGTTACAAGGTGAAAGCATTGAGAACTGATCGTGGAGGTGAGTTTGTCTCTACCAACTTTGAACAACTTTGCAATGAAGAAGGTATAAATAGGTATTTAACCGCACCATATACGCCACAACAGAATGGTGTGGTTGAACGCCGAAACCAAACTGTTCTTGGAACCACAAGATCTATGTTGAAGGCCATGAATATACCGCAATGGTTGTGGGGAGAAGGTGTACGACATGCTGTCTACATCTTGAACCGAACCCCGACAAAAGCTTTAGAAAAGAAGACCCCACATGAAGCCCTAAAAGGACGGAAGCCCAATTTGGAACACCTAAAGGTGTTTGGATGCATGGCGCATGTCAAAGTACCAACACCCAAATTAACAAAGCTGTCAGACAGGAGCGAGGCAATGGTACATCTCGGGAGTGAACCAGGAAGCAAAGCATATCGACTTTACAACCCAAAGACAAAAAGGTTATGTGTTAGCAGGGATGTCCAATTTGAAGAAAACAGAGCGT